ATTTTATTTTTATGGTTAATGTGTGAAAATCTTGTGTTTTCCCCCAATTTTTTAACCATAGGTTTCTAGATGTTTGAGCCCAAAATGTCTCCTCCTTTTCTAGGAGTTTATTTAATTGTTTCTGGTAAGCTTCGTCTTTCTTTGCTAAAATTGTATTCTGTGGTTCCTTTTCTCTATCCTTTTGACAATTGGCTATTATTTCCATGAGATTTTGCTTTTGGTCGGAGATGTTCCCAAAGACTTTTTTCCTCCACGTTTTTAATTCTCTTGTCAAAAGGCATGCCCAAGCCTTTTGGACATATTACTGGCCTCTTGAGTCTCGAGTTTCAATACTCGAAGCATCCGCTATGATTTTTTCAAGTTGTTGTCTAGGGACCACATGTTTTCAAACCGGAAAGGCTTGTCCTCAGTTACTAGAAGCAGAGGAGCATGGTCAGAACTTAGAAAGGGGAGATTGGTCAGCTGTGATTGTGGATATCTTTGCTGTCAAATGTGATTTATGAAACCCCAATCTAGTTTTTCCAGGAGCAGCCTTTTTTTTCTTGCGAGTTTATTTCCTTTTGCTTTTAGAGGGTGTTTTTTTGTTTGGATTTTAAGAGAGGGGAAAGTTGGTCAATGGAATTTTGGTTCTCATTGACCAAGAATCCCATGTTCTTTTTTCAGTTTTATGTGGAAATCAGGGAAAGTTTATTTTTCAAGTCAAAATTCGCACCATTGTTCACTTTACTGCTCTTTGTCCAATTGTCGGCATTATCGGTTTCTCCTTCCATGCTCCTTTTATTCTGCAATGGAGCTCTGGGCATGGCTTCCATCCTTAGACATTTGTGGGTTGCTTTGGTCCTCTTGGATCTCCCACTGTTTGTCCATCTCTTCCTCATTGATCAGATCGTCATCCTCAAGATTGACTCCCTTCTCAGAATTTTGAATTGCCTCATCCTTTGGCCTTCTCTTTTTGGGCAGTAGTAGTACATTGACCCGTCTTGTGACCCACAGCGCCACAGGCCAGACGGAGGTTGTGTAAGTTTTCAAGCCCTGGCTTTGATCGGGACCTCCAATTCCAGTTTTTGAGAAATGTCTACAGTCACACAGACTCTTGGGAAGTGTGTCCGTTCTAGGGTGAGATCGTTCTTGTCGAATTTGACAACATGGCCAACTTGAGCTAAAATGAGTTCCAGGTAATCACATTCCTAATATTAGTGCTTTCCAGTGATTTAAAAGACACGCCTAGGTGCACATCCAGATCCTAGGTGCAGCCATTTCAAAAGGTGCATGCCTGCTGCACCTAGGCATGCACCTTGTGCACTTTGCTCCGCACCCCAGGCGTGCACTTTTTAAAAATTTGACGCTTTTTTGTTTTCTTTTGTGTCTAGCGGCTGGGCCAAGGCTTTCATCTACCAGTACCAATAGTATCCCTAAGTTTTTTGACATTTGAAAAATTGCTCATCTGTAGAGGTAACATTGAACTAAGAATGAACCTATAAAATAAATAAATCTATCATTCTACACAAAAATTAAAGTCGTATCTACAATAGCCCATTTAAAAAATCCATAAGATCTATAATAAGAGATAAAAGACGAGATTAGATCAGGGAACTACTAAGAAGTTGATTTGTATACCCCCTATTGGATTCGAGCAGCTAATGTATATTTGTAAGCTACCTTTTTTGTTGGTTTGATCTATAAGAGATGAAATCGAAAGAGGAAATCACTATGAAGTTGTTATTCTTTCCTAGTCTTAGGTCTCTATACCACTTCCATCATCCATGATGGCTTTGCAAGTTAGCCATGTATTATCTGAACATTGGACTGGGGCAATGAAGATGGATCTGTAAAACCTTGGTAGATTTAAAAGAAAAACTTATAAGAGATCTATTTTATTCATGGGTTAGGTTAATTTTGAGGGCCTGCAAAACTTATACCAGCCTAAGCCAAATATACACATTTTTAAATAAGAGATAAAAAATACAAACCTAAACCAAATCAGAGTCAGGATGAGAGTTTTGCTTGTACTCTAAGTGAAACAGGATTAATTTGTGGAAGATTTTGGCTCAAATGGGATAAATCCTAAGAAAACCCAAGCAAGCTTGAGTTGCATAACCCTAGTTACAAATCATTCAATGTAGCTTGAAGTTAGAACCTTCAAACTAAAATATCAAATAATTTTTGACTTTCCAAATGAAATAACCCATTATGACTGAAATCCCAATGAATGTCAAAAACTACAACTCTGCTAATAGGACATGAACTAAACATAAGAATAAAAGACTATAGCATCAATGCTATAGGAATGCCAACGGATCGGATCGGATTCGAATTAGGGTATATCCGAATCTGATCCAACACTATTAATTGCAGATCTGGTCCAATTTGAAGATTTGATCGGATTTCATAAACATGGATTTGAATTCAAATCCGATGAGGATGTAGTATATTCGGATTTGGTCCAATCCGATTTGATTTTTTTTTAAATAATAAATTATTAAAATTAAAACAAAATATAAAAATTTAAATAAATAAAAACAAAAAATACAAGTATCTTTTCAACTATTTTCTTTATATATACATGTTTTTTATAAAAAATAAATAATATAATAAATTTATAAAAATGTAATATAAATAATATTTATAAATAAATAATATATGTGTGTTATATTTATATAAATAAATAAATAACATATATATTGAATCGAATAGGGGGGGGGAGTGATCCGAATTCTGATCCGATCCGAAGACCCGAAATGGAATATCCAAATCTGAGAATATAGGATTGGACTTCGGATTGGATAAGATCATGATCCAATCCATTTGCACCCCTAAATGCATATATATTGAAGCATCATTGCTCCCTCAAAAACACATAAGATATATTGAAGCTAGACTTCTACCCCATAAAGATTATTTGTCACCATATTTCTAGTGAATGATGCTTTAATTTTCTTGATAACAAATATGAAGCAACAAAAAGATCTTGTAAATGGATATTCATCCACAAATTTCTAAATGAGAAAATTAACAAAAGTGGCTACACACCTAGATGGCCCATGAAGGAATAGAGTACTTCCAAAACATTCTAAAAAATAACAACCGGGGTTTAAATGGCTAAAATAGCCAACCAATGTCTAAACTATTTAATAGCCTCCCTCAAAGATATCTAATTTAAGATATAATAAAAAGGCACATTATGGTCAATACTAATCACACATGAATCACATGGAGAGAATCCCTCCATACAAAGATCATAATTGCTCCAATAGAAAGCAAACACAAACATGTCAAGTGAAGTATCAAATAACAAATAATCAACATGGGAATGACCATTCTCCGCATATAAATTTATGTCCACATTTGAATACTCTATTTCATATTTATAGAATAACAATTGTAAAGCAAGCAAAAGGAAGGGAAGAATTACCTTATTTGAAAGAGCATTCATTGATTGAAGGTGGAACTTTGCACAAAGTTGAATAATTTGTCAAATTTGTTTTCCAATATACAACAAAGATAATCTTAGTTGAATGCTCATTATCAAATAGTTTAAAATATATAAACAAACTAGTTCCAATAGTGGTTTCTCCATGGTTAATGCAAGTAAGCTTAATAATTATAAATCCATCTTAACATATGAAAGATAGTCCAACTTGTTCAACTAAGCACAAACAATTAGAAACACCTTTTAATAAGTCCTAGAGTTCTCCCTTTATATGTGCTTTGCTATAGAAGGATTACAAACTATAACCTTACACTTGACAGATAAATTGCAAATACCCACTTAGGACAATGATTGATAATGATGATAAAAATATCTCAGTACCTTTGAAGCTACTAAAAAATAAGGGATTTGAAATATCATCAGGGGAGGATACGATAACAAATTTTGAATTTAACTAAAAAGAGGAATTATAAAAAAATAAAAAATCCAAAACAAAGCAAGCAAATATTAAGGAATTAAATTGCAAATACCACTTAGGAAGAAAACAATATGGAATGTTGAAAACATTTACATAGAAGACACATTGCATTAATAATAACCAAGAAAATATTTCATTCTGAAAACCCGTCATGAGAGCATCCATCTCATCACCATATAAAAGAATTAGTAGACCGAAGTCACTGAACTGTTGTTTAAAAATTAAGATCCCTAACTTAATATACATGGTGGAGCTGTCAACCATAGAAAATTTAAAAGGAAAATATTAAATAATAAGAATAATGACAAAAAGTTAGCGGCTTCTTCTCTGGTTTCTTCTCTACTTTAACTAGTAAAACAACATTCTCTCAGCCTTCTTATTTTTCTAAACACATACCCAATAAACTTGTTAATATAAACATCCGGTTGATTTGGCAGTTCCAATGCCAAATCGTCAACTGGGTACCCATCAACATGGCAAATTAGAACCATCAAAAGAGGGAATCCTAATCCATTATTTGGTTTTGGTAAAGAATGTTTGAATCATGATGTGTATATAAGGAAAATTGGAAAAAGTGGTGAGGAGTTACTTATGGTCGGCACCAAGTGTTCAACTACAGTGAAGTGAAGAAGAATGATGCTCATCTCCATCTTCTCCCACTTCATTGTGACACCTAGATAACAAACAAACAAAGACACCATTTACAAGGAAGGGTGTGGCGCAGAGTAACTCTAATAACACTGCCACATAAGCAAGTTACTTAATAAACAGAAGAAGACTAAACTATCCCTATTCGGCACATCTTAACACTCCTCTTCAAGTTGGAGAATATATGTCATATAATCCCAGCTTGTTACATAGATAGTTCACTTTCCCTGAGCTTAGAGCTTTTGTAAACAAATCTRYCCACTAGTCATTGGAGCCCACATGTTCTGTATTTATCTCTCTGGCAAGAACCTTCTCTCTCACAAAGTGGCAATCAACCTCTATGTGCTTTGTTCTCTCATGAAAGACAGGATTGGATGAGATATGAAGTGCAGCTTGGTTGTCACAGTACAATTTCATAGGTTTATCCATGTGAAACCCAATTTCTTATAGGAGATTTCTCAGCCACACTAATTCACAGGTAGTGTGAGCCATGGCTCTATATTCGGCTTCAGCACTACTTCCTCTCAGAAATGTGCAATAGCCTGTAGTAGATCTTCTGTCACTCACTGAGCTTGCCCAGTCTACATCTGTATACCCAACTACTTCAAGTTTTCCTCCTGGTTTATACAATAGCCTACGGCCTGGAGCTCCTTTCAGATACCTCACAATTCTAAGGGCTGCATCCCAGTGAGGTATACGAGGGTTCTGCATGAATTGGCTCACCGCACTGACTGCAAAGGAGATGTCGGGTCTCGTGATAGTCAGATAGTTTAGCTTTCCCACTAGTCGTCTATACCTTCCAGGATCTTCAAATACTTCTCCTGTATCACTGCTCAACTTAACATTTGGTTCCATADGGGTCTCAGCCGGTTTTGCACCTGACAGTCCTGTTTCTTCCAATAGATCAATGACATATTTCCTTTGGCACAGATTCACACCTTGTTTTGACCTGACAACCTCTATTCCCAATAAATACTTTAATGTTCCAAGGTCCTTTTTTTGAAAATGATTTTGCAGAAATACCTTGAGTTTGCCAATCCCCAATTTATCACTACCAGTGATGACAATATCATCCACATAGACCACTAATAAAATCTTCCCAGCTTCTGAGTCATAGCTGAACACTGAGTGATCAACCTGGCATTGCTTCATTCCAAAACTCTTCATCACTTCGCTAAACTTCCCAAACCAAGCACGTGGAGATTGCTTCAACCCATAAATTGCTTTTTCTTTAGCTTGCACACCTTACCACCCTCCCCCTAAGCAACAAACCCAAGTGGTTGCTCCATATATACCTCCTCCACTAGATCACCATGGAGGAAGGCATTCTTTATGTCAAATTGAAGGAGAGGCCAATCATACATAACTGTCAAGGAAATTAGGAAACGAACGGAACCAATTTTAGCCACCGGAGAGAATGTCTCCATGTAGTCCACACCATACAACTGTGAGTAACCTTTAGCAACAAGTCTGGCCTTCAGACGCTCCACACTACTATCTGGCAAGTATTTCATAGTATACACCCATTCATAGCCCACAACATGCTTACCAGGTGGGAGAGTAGTAAGTTCCCACGTTTGAGTATGTTGAAGAGTAGAAAGTTCTTCCTCCATTGCCCGCCGCCATTTAGGTGAACTAAGAGCTTTCTGAACATTGTTACGTATGGAAATAGAAGACAAAAGTGAAACAAACTGGCGATGTGAGGTAGAAAGACGAGATAATGAAACAAAATTGGAAATGGGATGGAGTGTAGAACTACGTTTACCTTTCCGTAAKGCAATGGGTAGGTCAAGATCTGAAGGTTCAGCAATAGGAGCCATGAGAGGATCCGCAGATGAGGTAGAAGCAGGAGGAGGGGCCGGTGTCATTCGACGTGTATACACTTGTCGGATYGGTGGTCGTTCAGTGGTGACCTGTGCTAGATGAGGAGATGAGTCTACTCCAACAACAGCCTCTGGAACKGAATCACTGACAGGAAGAGGAAGAGGAGGTAAGGGTGAGGACAAGGGTGCTTCATGACTGGAGAAGAAGGGGACGAACTCAAAAAATGTGATATCAGGGCAGACATAGCACTTTCGGGCAATGGGATTATAACACTTGTACCATTTTTGAGTCCGGAGTAGCCAAGGAAGACACATCTAATTGAGCGTGCATCTAGCTTGTCTATTCCAGGACTTAGATTATGAGCAAAGCACACACAACCAAAGACACGAGGAGTTAATGGAAACGGAGATAAAGTGGGAAACAAGATGGAGAAGGGGGACCGACCATGGAGAATAAAAAAGGGCATCCGATTAATGAGAAAACATGCAGTGAGTACADCATCACTCCAAAACCGTTTAGGAACATTCATGTGGTGAAGCATAGACCGAGCAATTTCAAGAAGATGACGATTCTTCCGTTCAGCCACCCCATTTTGTTGAGGGGTGAAAGCAC